CCAGCGGCTGCTCCTCCAGCACCAGTCGGCTCTGTTGGGGCTGCCCAAGCTGTCCGGCGGGGAGGCCGGATCTGGATCCACGGCTGGCCAGGGTCAAGAAGCCGAGGGCAACGCCGCTACCGCCAGTGCCTTAACTGCATCCGCTGGTCTCAAGACTGTTGATGGAGAGGAGGATGGGTAAGACATTTTTGGTTTATATTTATTTGATTGTTTGTAATCGCATTTTGGCACAATTGACCCACAGTTTAGCACTAGTCGGGAATCAAAGCAGTTTACAGCGAGATGCTTCCTGTTCAGAGAGAAGCTGGATGATTTGGCCGCTGTGAGGGAAGAAACGTGTTATTGTTTTCCTAGATAGACGGCAGACGGTTACCAGGCGGCTACTGTCCTCTGTCAGTGGGACACAGAGCAGGACTCAGCTGGCTGTGACGCCTCGTGTCTTTCTTTATCAAGTGGCTGCAGTGATTCGGCATTTCACCTCCTAGCCTGACTAGACGAGACTGACTCCTTGCTTGAATCCTGACTCCTTACAGGGCACAATTTCTGCTGGGTTCACAGTTCGCTGAACACGCACAAACACACACACGCTCTCTCTCTCTCAGCACATTTGTTGTTTTACAAACAGGAAACAAGGCAGAAGTTGTTGAACTTAGATAGGTAGGTAGCTGCAAATGTGACAGAAATTACCTAAATAGTCTTAATAATTTTACAGGCGAAACAAAATTTTAAAGACAATATTTTATTAATTTATTTTTAGGAAGAGCTTAAACATTCTTTCTTTTAATGAACTTATGAAGAGAAGATGGTGGTTTACTTTTTGACGTAAAAAGTATAGTCCAGTCGTCCTTTACTTTCACTAAGAGCTTATTGATTTTATTAAGAGCTCTCTTTCGCTCTCTCTTTCACTCACTCACACACATCCAGAGAACAACACTCCGAACAAGCTGAAAGTCCAGTGGAATGTTCCCCCCTCAACAATCATTTTTAAGAAGCGATTTTGAGGTTTCGGGGGAATTTTAATCACTCAGCAGCAGGAAATTGCCCACATTTCAGTCGCTCTTAAATCTTAAGCCCATTTTCCCAAAGTCTGAAAAATGTTCTTATGACGTAAGCTTCTAGGATGTTTTGCACACCAGAGTTATAATTCTAAAGATAATTGGATCACTGGACTGGTCATTACTGGGACTGTGGAGGGTAACATGGATGTAATGAGTCTCTATGAGGCAGTTGGATGGATACTGAATGATGGCTACTGTCATTGCTTGATGTTTACTGCTGAGGAATGTGAAATCTATGGGGATCAGGTGGATTATTGTCTTTGATGATAAGAAGCATTTGGGTGAAACCAAAGCCCTCGTTTCCAATGAGAAAGACCGTCTCGGTGAATTAGGCTCACGGTTAATTTCTCAGTAGCTCACCCGCTGAAGTCGAATGTAAACGTCTATTTGTCTCGGCCGAAAAAACTGTGCAAACCCAGAGACCACAAACCATTCATGTCCCAATCAAGATGTTCATTTCTATTCTAAGACTACATTTGAAGTACAGACAAACCACAGCTGTTTTTAATTGCAGCATACATTAAGAAACGTAAACTGCTGCACAGGATTAGACGTACAAGTGAAAATGCTGAGCCTAATAGTTTTTGTTTTTTCTTTGCTCAACATGAATGAGATCACACTGAGCCCCCCACAGAGCTTTTCAGCAGCTGATTGACCCGTCTAACCACCGCTGAGGTCGAGCTTCTTTTCAGTAACCGCGTCACTGATCGGTGTTCCTCTTCCATTCTTGCCCACATAGCTATGTGCAATGCTGGGGTAACCTGAGCTGTGGGTGTACTCCAGCATCAGTTTCCCATTCATGACAGTGAGTCTGTAGTGTTTGTTTATCGCTAACAAGCATTTATTTAAGTTGAGTGTTAATTTAGAAGTTGGTTGCAGATTTAAAAGTCCTTCATATATCTGTCTCTCACCTTTCAAACCTTCAGATGGAAGACGTGTTTTTGTAGAGGTAACGCACGGCCTTATTTTTTGTTCTACGTTTAACGTAAAGCACTTTACAACCATTTTAAATTACACATTTTTACCACGATTGGTTTTATTCATTATCGTAGATGTTGTGATGAGATCTGGCTCTGGACTTATTTCAGATACTCGGCTTGCTTACGGTTGTTGCTTTCTAATTACAATACAAATTGGATGTTTTTGAGACGATAACTTCCAGTTTATACTTTCTTTTCCACGTAACACCAAGTGGCTCTAAGTTGGTACTTTAATTTGTAAGTACATCTGGAGAAAACGTGCTTTTATAAGCAATTATTTAAGATTTGGTCCAAATACTTTTTACTCCGTTATGTTTTCCATCAACATGTAATATGCTCTTAGTGCGGTTCTGTTTTCTGTTGTTTAGGTCTTATCCGAATCTTCATGAAGCGACGTTGGCAATAACAAGATATTAAATTATTTCGAAAAAAATCTTTGGCATCTAAAATGATAAATTGACGGACTGTTATTTTGGCTTTTCATGAAGAGATGCAGTTTCAGATTATTTCGCTCACGCAATCTTTTGCAATAAGATCTTACACATGCAAAGATGAACAATATCATCACTTAATAATATTGGTTGTTTGCTTCGATTCAAATATGTTTATTACTTCCTTGCATATGTGCCCAACATACGGATTTCTTCTGCTAGTCTGAGACGTCGAAAGCTTTCAACTGTGTGTGTGTGTGTGTGTGTGTGTGTGTGTGTGTGTGTGTGTGTGTGTGTGTGTGTGTGTGTGTGTGTGTGTGTGTGTGTGGGGGGCTCTGGCTGGCAGCATGATGCTATCTCTGCTGTGCCCGTTGCTCATTGTGTGCAGAGATCAACGAGATCCCCAAAATTTACAACACATAGAGGAAGTGACCCGACCTGAACCCATCCCAACTTAGTCAGGTCTACTTGTGCTGGCTGAGGACACAGCAGACTGGACCAGATGGAACCAGACTGAGCAGAGTTGTGTTCCAGCTCTGATAAATCCGGCCATTGTGTTGCTCCACTATCGATGGTTGTCTATGAGCTTTGGCTTGGGGAAGGTTGTACCACAGACTTTGACGAACCTGATGTGTGTGCACATGTTGCAGTCATTGGCCACATCTTGGTTTGTGTAATACTAATGTAACCATACCTTATTAATATTGTGTATTTTCAGGAGCAAACACCCCCTGTTGGTTTGAAAGATGGCTCTAAACAGAAGTGGTGTAATGGACCTCTGTCGATCCGTACAGATCCTCCCTCGCTGTTCGGCACACATTTGAAATGTGAAATGTTTTACAGACTGTTGTTATCCGCCAATGTCCAGTAAAATATACGATCAGGACATCGGCATCTACAAACACTCTAACTCAATCACAGTTATTTCTTTATATCAAATGCACCAATACTGCAGCAGCGTCCGGCTGCTGCCTTTTTGTTTTGTTGTCGTATTGAGCTCTGGCTTGTCCACAGTTGCACTAAAAGTGTTTCACTAAAAGTAAACAGCATTTGTTATTTGTTATGCTGCTGACTAAATAGACCGAGCCAGAGAACACCAGAACACAGCAGACCAGCAACATGCTGTGTGTGAGGACTCACTACACACCGCTGAATATTTAGTATGTCTGTCTAAGCCGAGCGCTGAAAGCATGAATGGCAGAATGAAATGAGGAGATTGTGAGAGATATAGAGGTTAATACAAACCACCCGTATTTGGATATCGCTGTATTAATCACCCCTCGTCTTTGTCCTTTGCTTGTTTGTATGCTTTGTGCAGATGGTTCATTGATTTCATTTTCTTTCAGATGGTTTATTTTTCCATCGATAAACAGGATTGTTTCACTTAACAGTGCAGTGGGAGAGCTAATGGTCTGTAATGGATTGTGTTTTTAGCCTGCCTTTCATCTGTGGGAAAATTACCCTCCCACCCCTGAACACACGCGCGCACACACACACACACACGCTCACACGATGGTCTATCCTTGTTGAAAAAACTGCTCTTGTCTGTTTTTCTTCTGCTTCTTTTTGTAGCTGTTCATTACCGGCAGAAGCAATTGGATTGCTGCCTCAACTATTGTTTGTTTGTTTGTTTTATTTATTGTCTTTCCACTGAGGGGTCCTGTAGTGCATCAAAATCAATCGGCTGAGTCATGTGATCTTTGGTCATGACTGCATAAGCGCACTCGGAATGCGTTGTCTTGTTGAGAGGTTCAATGTTTGCCTCTCTGTTTCTTGTGTGTGTGTATAAGACCGTTTGTAGCGCTGCAAAGAGAAAGTATTCACCAAAATATAGGTTTTTGTGGTGTATTGTCGTGCTGACTCATTTCGTTATTAGTCCGGGAGAACATAGACATCTCTTTTTAATCACAGTGCAGCGGACAGTCCTTTATTTTATATATATATATATATATATATATATATTTTTTTTTTGGAACTTTAGTTAAAAACAAGACTCGAAGCTGTAAAACAAAAAATTCAAAATATAAGCTTAAAGTTTCCTGAGAACAATCGTTTCAACTGTTACAAGTTTTTAGGTTAACATGTGCTCATAAATACCAACCTGACTTCAGTCATCATGTCCCAGAGTTCTGTCTCTTCTTGGGTTGATTGGGTTTCTTCCTGCTGCTCCGTATTCACTCTCCTCCTCCTCCTCCATGTCTGCCAGAATCTCGTCACCGTGCCAGGCAGCTGGATTTATGCGGAAATTAGTTTCTGGTAATACCGTTTCTATCGGTGGACACGTTTCTACCGTTATAGGCGTTTATGTACCGTCATGACGTGTTGGAGGTTTAATGTTCAACCGCTCATTTCTTATCGTTAGGCCTCAGTGGGCTGCCAGTGTCATCCCCCTGAACATGCAGGCAATGTGCTGAGTCATGGCCCGCATTCCTGTGGCCAGAACACTGTCCAGTCAGCTCCAGGAATCTCGCTCGCTCGCACGCACACACACACACACACACACGCGCGCGCATACATACATAAATGCAGGGGATGACTTTGCTATCAGCGTACGCATTCCTGTTTGTCTTTCTCCTGCATGTCTTTGATACCATATGTATAGATTCATCTTATCATTATTTACGTGATTCATTGTTTGGTCTATAAAAAAATCACAAAACAGTAAAAGATGTCCGTCACTTTCTCCCCACAGTCAAGGCGACATCTTTGAATGACGATGCCACTATAACTTTTCGAGGTGCCACTATCACGTTGTTTTGCCGCCAATGCGCCATGTTGGCCGATACAGACTGTTTTTGTTTTGTTATAGCAGTTGGTATACAAGACTCGAGGCAAATTGTATCCTTACAATTTCAACAATTTAAAATGTTATCCTTTTGGATAACATTCTGCCAGGCTGAATGTGGTACTTTAATGTGTGCTGTACTCATTACTTCCCATATATTGAATTTATTCAGGAAGCCCACACATGCACACTTTGCACTGTGTGTGTGTGTGTGTGTGTGTGTGTGTGTGTGTTTGACACGCTTGCATTTCATCTCTTGAATTTTGCATTTAATACTGTTTAAAAGGTAGACTGTCTATGTTCAGTGCTGTTCACAATCCAGCTCACTCTAACCACCCTCTTCTGTTTGGAGTGAGCAACAGTCTGAAGTCACACGTTGCCTTTGGTCTCTATCGGCACAGTCACTGCAGCATGAACGCCATCTATTGCCTCCCTGCAAACCAGCTGTTAATAGTGCTGTACTCCCCCCTGCTGGTTGGAAAAATTGTGAGCGGCCCACATGCATCAGGTTCTTCATAATGATAAAAATCACCTTTTTAGATTTTTGAGATTAGCATGAACTAGTTCATCTCTACTTTTCTTTAAAAAAAAAATTTAAAAAAATATGCTGCAGCGGAGAGTGAGTCTGTGCTGGAGCTCCTCGTGTGCTTCGACTTGAGAATCAGTGATGTGAGAGTTATTGAGGTCACAAATCAGTTGTTGGAGTCGTTAACGTCAGAGAAATGAGAATTGTTATGAAAGGATTTTAGGATGAAAGGACCAGTGGTAGGGAGGGTTGAAGAAGGGCTGGCAGGTTAAACTTCTCACAGGCAGAGTGAAAACATACATGTAGCAAAAATATATAATGTTACAGTACAAATTCCTTATTAGCTTGTATATCATGTTAATGGGAGTGGGTATGAATGACATCAATAGATTTGTCCAGTGTGGAGTTGTTTTTAAAATAGAGGGTGTCTGATGGTTGGAAGATGGAGTTGTGGAGGGGGTGTGAAGGGTCCTGTGTGATGATGGTGGTTTTACCTTTAACTGAGTTTATCATGTGCCGACTGGTCAGAGGTCTGGAGTGAATGCTGTGATGTGTGTTTTCATTGAGCCATGTTTGGAAGCAGTTTGTGAGAGGCTATTTTAAGGAGCCTTGAATCAAAGACAGGATACGAGTCCCTCTAGTGGCGAATAATAAACACTACATGACAGAGAATAACTGAAATCATTTTAAAAGGCAAGAGCTTACGTTCTGGCTTTGTTAAACGTCTCTTTTCCTAGTAAGCAATGATTATTTCAAATTACGCATTTTTCTCCAGTTGCAAATGAAGCCAAAATACTGTGATCGTAGTACTGTTAGGTCTGTGAGCATCACATTGTGTCCCAACAAAGAGTTACGCCCATCTTCTGTCACAGTTCCTCTAAATATTTGAGGAGAATGGTATGACGAAAGTTTAAGGTAGGAAGAAAAACATAACTTGTTCTGCTGTTACATGAATAACATTAGTGAAGCGCATCATGACCACATCAGTGTGAATTCCACTACCTCATAAACATAACCTTTGCTTCAGCGTGACACCGAACAAAACTAATCAAACTCCTTCTGTCCTAATTAATACCGAACAGAGATACAAGTTGATGCAGACTTCACGTGGCTTGTTTAGTCTGAATTTTTATGCCATGTCAGACATTTTTTTGGGATCGGCAGGGCACAACAAATGAGAACACCGGGTGTGGAGTTTGGGTTTAGTTCATGACATTCTGGCAGAAAGTGAGCACTTAACAGGAAAACAGGTCTATTCAGGTTTGTGAAGGTTTAATTAGCAGTAAGGCATGTGTTGGCTCTAGTATTTGCCACTAGGTGGCAATGTATACCTACCTAGAAAATAATGGAGCAGTTAGTCTCTCAATGTTGGTCTGTGATTGAGTCAGCAGTTTTTTTTTTTTTTGTTTGTTTTTTTAATGAGGTAGTAACTTTTTAAAGCAAATCGGATGTTTTTCTATGAGCAGAGCTGCCATAATGCGGCTTCTTGAATGTCAAAGAACATGTAAAATGGAGTCTCAGCTAAATACTATCGTATGTGTAACAGTGTGCTACTCAGGAGGGATGTCATTGACTCATCAGTTTTACTTCGAGTGCGGTAGATTGCGGGTAACAGAATAGCTGCGTAAAGTTGTCCTCGTTCTGTTGCAGTCAGAATATTTTGTCTGTTGACTGAGTAGCAATGCTGAACCAACTGGTCTCATTTTATTTACAAAATGTCAATGTTACGTTCACTAACATCAAGCAGAGTAGAATCTAAACTGATTAAGTGCTTATTCATAAGTTGGTTAAGATAGTTCATGAGGTTGCATCCTTTATAAGGAGCTCCCAAGTTCAGGTCCACTGACAGAGAACATGCATCTCCAATCAGTTTAATCTGCTTACAATTATGATGTCTGTTGATCGTTGTAGTGGACTTCGGCATTTCTTTCCACATAACCACAAACCTTTCCTCTATTAAGCTCCTTGGTACTTTTCGTTTTGTTTGTTGTCACCATTTTCAAGAGTCTTATCATACTCGCTAAGGCAGCTTGTAAGGCTGAAGACTGTAAATGGGAACGGCATTTATTGCCAGATATTAGACGAAGTGGTGTGACAGTGTTGAGACTTTCTGTGTTGGCCTGTGAAGAACTACAGGAAACCGTTGGTGTCTGCAGCTAAGCTGTGCTTTTGATAGCGCTGCTGTCGTCACAGATTTCGGCCCTGACGGTGGAGTCGTCGTCAATTAATCCACTCACTGCTCTGTCCTCCTCTCTTCACTTGTAATCTTGCATGCACACACACACACACACAAATGAGAAGGCAGATATATGGGTCAGGGCTCGCAGCCAAATCTTTCCAGACTTATTGAAAAATTAGGCAGAGATGTTAAAAAAACGCACAGAAAACCAACGAGGACCATGATTCTTTATCTTTGAATCCAATTACAAGTCATAAATACGGACTCTGCTGGCCCGCAGTGACCACATATGATTAATAGAATCGCTTTGCCTTGAGGCAACATGGACATTCTTGGTATTCGGAGATGTTTGGAAGACTGGAACAAATCGAGACGGGCGGTAACATCAGTTTTCTGACCGTTCAGTGACCTGTTTTCAGGGATCCAGCCCAAATTCACATAGAATTTATGAGATATCGTGTATTTCTAGAGGTGTATAACCATAGAAAAGTTAGTAATAATATATATATGTAAGGTAACATTTTCTAGCTTTGAACCTGTATACTTTTACCAGTTTGTTTTGCATAATAACAGATTTATTCTTCCATTTACAGCAGCTGAGCTGTAGAGGAAACTATGTCATGACCACCCTGAAGGACCACAAACTAGCTTTAACTAGCTTTGCATGAAACGTGAGCTTGGTGACACTTTGGGAGTTATAGTAGGTACAAATGACAGACAAGGGAGACCATTCGTCAACGTATATACCTCATAAGCTCACAGATAGACGGATGGTGTTAATGTTGTCGTATACGCTACAACTGCATCCAGCCATAGCTGCTGGTGAACCGGCGGAGACGCCTGCAGATCACGTTGGCGGTTTGTTTGAGATGTGGACTGCATGAGGGAGAGATGACTCACTTGGTCTTGTGGTTCGGTGGAGTATGAAGAGAACAGCCTCCTACCAGCCAACACAAACGCACCGTTATCACTCTGTTAGCTTCAAGGTGTGCGCGTGCGTGTGGCTTTATGACCCAGACATCAGCATGAGAAATCTGTCCTCCCTCAGATTCTAAAAGATAAGCAAACAGATGTTCAGTTCAAATTGAAGGAGATAAATGGAACCGTTCTTATCTTTCGTGAGGACCCTGAAAGACGTCAAACTGGCCAAAGCTGAAAAGAAACACCCCAGCTGACCTGAACAGCCTGGGGCACAACAGGCATATCTTGTTTTGATTTTACGGTTAGTATCAGGATATTCCTCTGTGCTTTATGACTTTCAAGATCCACTACCACTACCGGCGCCATTGAATATATAAATATTCTCTGAGGTGTTATTGTGGCCTGTTTGGAATATACATTTTGAGTTCCAGTGTTTGAATTTCCACTTAAGTTATATTACAAATCTCAATTTAACTGCAGGTACATTCTATAAGGACATATGCTTACGTTCACCGTCCAACCCAACAACAATGGGCCTTCTCTCCTCGTCTTCATCGCTGCCGTCGGCATTGCCTCCATCCTCTGTAGTCTGGACTCTGAGCGCTGTGTTCTTTGGCTGCTAATCCTGTTAATGCCAGGTTTCACTCCACATTACTCAAACCTTCTGCACACACACACACACACACTTATGTAACCGTGTGTGTGAGAGAGAGACACACAGTGAGGGAGATTTGGTCCCTACTCTGAAACAGGTTACTTTCTCTGCCAGTGGGTGTTTAAGTGACTCGATAAACAATGCAGATGCTAGCAGTTTATTCACAGATAGCATTGAGCAGGATGTCTACCAACTATGTCATGGTTTCATTTCTTTAGTCTTGAATCATTACAAGCATGTTCCAGGACCCCTCCTGTGTTAGTTCCTGCATGTTGAGCCCATTTTCTAGATGTCATTTTCACAGTTCCTTTGTGTCAGTCAGACGGTCCAGTAGTCCTGCTATGGTGTGAAGAGCGAGAGGATACGTTTCCTTTAATCATGCATTCATATGTATTTTACCTATCGACACATTTGAACATTTTTGCATTTCTATTGCAGAAAAGACATTTCCTAAATGGTGGATCGAGGCGGTTCTGGCTCTCGCGGCTCCCTCCTTCTCTCCCCCGGTGGGTGTGCCTGAGTTTAGTACAGAGCGAGCACTGAGGACTTGCTGCTGTCAGCCCAAAACGCTCCAATAGCACCTCCCGCTCTCTCTCTTACGTATGGAGGCCAAAATGGCCACTCATCATTCCTCCCTTGCCTCTCTGACTGACTCACTCAGTAGCTCTCTGTGGTTCTCCATAGTCAGGGTGTGACTATGGAAAACCACTGCCAGGGCTTACTGGTAAAGTCTATGTGTGCTTTCCACTATCAAACTACAATTCAGCAATTCAATAGGCCTCATCTCTGGGACATGCCAGGCCCCTTTTATTAACTTGCATCTCTCCCCCCGAACACACAGCAGAGTGAGTGAGACACAAGAATTAAACCAGAACCAAAACCCACATGTAGGACTTGTCTCATCATAATCAACAGGATGTCTTTGCAAAGCAGTGCTAGTATACATTAAACCATAAATAAACCGTTGTGTCATGCGTTGGGCTGACGTACAGCCTATTATCTGGTTAGATCGCCTTACTCTTGATATTTGCAACAGTAGATGAAGTGCATTCATATTTTTTACAAAGTAGGCTTTTGTTTAGTCGACGACATGCTCATGGCTGCATACGTTAACTTGTGTTTTCAGTCGGTATTTATTTGTGTGTTATGCGCATTATTAATCATCGGAGGCTGGTATCTATTGTGTTGTTGTAGATGCAAAATAAAAGCATCACGCTGAGACTGCACGGCCTGTTTTGCGCCTCGGATGTGTTCAATAACTAGTTTTGGTTGAAAGTTGGATGGAAATTGGCGATATTTCATGTTGAACTGATGATGGCTCAGCAATAGGTGTGTTGGGGGTCTATCCAGGGAATGTACAGCCTTTTGAAATGTTTTCCAATTTCCAATTTCTTTAGTTCATAAGCAACAGTGTTGCTTTTCCTGATAAAAAGCGAGGGCCGAGGCTTGATTCAAGAGAGTAAAGTGCCGTTAGCAGGCGGCTGTATGTACGACCCCGGCCACAAGTCACGTGATACCGATTCACCCCAGCACATGGAGTCTGTTAGGACAAGTGAAATCCCCTTCATTATGCTCATGCCTTACCTGTTGTTTCTTGGCCGGCTGTCTCTAAGCCGGCGGAGGCCCTGCGAGTGCACGTTGTGTTTTCTGTCTGCCGAGGCACTAAGCCATCTTAAAGGGAAAAATGACAAGATAAGACCCGGAGGCACAGGGCTGCTTGTCTATCACAAAGTGGGCTGGCACAGAAAACTACAAGGTGTACAAAAAAAAAATCATTTTCAAACTGCCCAACTAAACCAACCGAGTTCAAGAGTCGGGGCTGTTTTTGACGAGATGACCAAACCAACCCAGAGAGCTTTTGACCTCTGTGATTCTGACAACCTTTTATGTGACAAGGCTATGGTTGAGGCTCCACGTTGTTTGATTGCACATCCGTGTCCCCGGCTGCAGAGGGCTTATGGCGTAGGAGCAGGGAAATCACTGGGCCACATGCTAATCTATGTTGATGCTTTATGTAACTCCCAGTATCACATGATCGCACGTCACCACCCGCCCAGCTCCTGTCTGTACTCGGTAATTCACTCGCTAGTCAAATGGATGACACAGACAGGCGGGAAGAATGAGCGGCGCACACACACAAGTCATCACAACCTGGCACGCTCCCGTTGATTTCGCCCCCCCCCCACGCAGACGTAGGCCGCGACCCAGATCCGCTCACTGAATTTTAAGAAAAGGAACGAGTGGGGTGTCAGAAAACAGCCAAACAAAAGACGCTCGGGGAGGCCACTGCTCCGGTACTTTTGGAGTTTACGTGATCCTGCTGCCGGACGGCTCCGTGAGAGTGCGGGGTGGCCATGACGAGATGGCAATGAAGCTTTTGTTCCGGGAGCTGGAGCAGCATCTCAAAAGGTGAATATGAAGACGGGGAATCCCCAGAGGGAGCCGGTACAGTGTGGTGCCGCTGCTTGAGCCAATCACTGTAGTGGCTGCACACAAAGGGCTGCGTGGCTATAGTGTCCTTTTCATTCAGTCACTCTTGGCTTCAGGGTGCAGCATTAACTCTGAGGGGTGTGCGTTAATGTATAGTTGACTATAGAAAAGTGTGGAAACGTAGCCGTCGTACATCTGTGGTGTATGTGTGTTTGGTGTGTGTGCGCCAATTAGTACTACCTCCATGGGATTGTGAGTAATCAAACCCGCAGCATGCTTGTTTTTTGCTTGCCGTATTCTGCTGCTTTGTAACGGCTCTGTTGCCGTCACGTTGCTCCATCTGGTCCACAGTTTCACATTAAGTCACCTTCTCTTCTGCAACAGTATAGCAGCGTGTACATACCACAGTAGAATGGCTTACAAAGAGGAGGCTTGCTCCTTGTTTTGTTATTGCATTGTGGCTAAAATGTTGCAACCCCTCAAACTTTTTGTTGTACATATTTTTTCATATCAGTTTAAATGTGTGTCCACGTATGTACTTAAAATGCACAACGCATCCTTGACATGTGACCCTTTTTTAAAAGTGAAACCTCTCCTCCCAAGCCTCCACGTGCTTTGTGTGTTTTTATTCCTCACAGTTGAACTGGCTATTTGGGTCTGGATCATGGGCTAAACCCTTCCCCCAGTCAAAGAAGAGACCGGAAGAGATAAGCGTGGCTTAGAGTCTCTTATTAAGCTGTTTGGCTTCTTGTTAAGTGTTCAGAGTGTTTGGTGTCAGAGGTGAGCAGCAGATGACATCAGTACGAGTGCTCAGAGGATGTGTTTGAGCCCATCTTCTCGGTACGTGTGCTCAATAAGCCGGAACTGTGCTGTGATACCCAAATAAGCCCGCTGGCTTTTTAAATATCTTTAAAAGCCCCTTAACCTGTGCTCTGTCTTTTGGGGATTTGAATATTTCTCATTACTACGAGCAGGAAGTTTTCTTCTGTTCAGGAACTCGACACAACAGCTACACATCAGTAGTACACAGTACCTCAATGGCTGGGTTGTAGGACCTTTTGCGAGTGTGTTTTAACACGGACGTCAGTATATCGTTTGTATACGAGTATCTTCCGTGGACCTTACCATAGGTCAGACCGGCCAACGCCACGATCCCTTTTAGGGAAAATAAACGCGTTGAACGTCTTGTTTATCAAGGTATCATGGACGCTCAGGAAAGGTTGCAAAATAGTTATTAGACGTCTATAAAACAAACGCTTAACAAGAAATAAATGCAAACAAACCGTTTTTCCTCGTTTTTTCGATGCCAGACCAGATCTTTTTTTTTTATTAGCTTAACATGTGGCTTTTTGTCAATGTCTCTACGTAGAACTTTTCTTAATTGATAATTGTGTGAGAAAAGAAATGAAAGCAGGATTTCTGGATTAGTTTCTCCTGCTGCTGCATTGTGTGTGTGTGTGTGTGTGTGCGTGTGCGTGTACATGATTTTGAGGTTTTTGGGTGTGCATGGAATGTGTGAGTGGCCTTTCAGACTGTGCAGGGAGGTGTGTGTGTGTTGGAGGGGGTCTTAGTTAGAGGATGTCTGAGGTGGGAGCTCCTGTGTGGAGGAGTTTTAGGTGTTTTCTTCCTGACCTAAAGGCATTTTGGGTGTGCGGTAATGTTTGAGTCAGATTGACCTCATCGACTCAACATGTCCTCTATTATCGTTAGACATTTAACAGATGTGTAATCTCCCATTAGAAGAGGTTTTTGGAAGTGGGATGTTGGTGCTACGCTGGAGTATGATGGTGTTTTATTCCAGCTTCACACTTAACAGCCCGAACATCTCGTGTTTGCTCTTGGTGGTGTGGCTCAGCCAAACGAGGCTGCAGTGCACTACACTGCCACATGGGGGCATCATAGGAACACACTTAGCAGCACTGCATGGATGTTCAGAGCATTTTGGTTGAACACCTGCCCATGGTTTACTTCTATCTTATTATTATGCTCTGGATACAATGCTCTCCTTACTATAGATGGTTGTAAATTAGATGTATGACCTTTTTGTTGTGGGCAATGTTGAATGCTGGTATAATTCCTGTCTTACACTGCCAGAGAGGGCTTTTGGTGAAGAATGCTACACATTCTAACATCTTTAAAATTGAGTTAAATGATGCAAAAGAAACCACATACACACCCTCCAAAACGTTATATATTCACTAGCCTTCTGGAGTAGAATAACTGACCCCACATGTTGTTTTTAAGACTATAAAACCAAATGATCAGCAGAGGAATTCCCTGTAACTGTTACTTGTTATGGAGATAAAACCATTGTATCTCTGTTATGACGGGTAAATTGCTGGGTTTATAATGCCCTAATCAGCACTATCAGCTGGTGATTTCACATTTAAACAGGAGCTTAATAATGTGTATTTTTGCTGTAATTCAACAATCCCAAAATCTCGCCCTTCCCCGGCCTGTTTTTCAATAGTACAGCTCTTTCTTCTTCCCTTTCCCATCCGGTTCTCCCCGGTTCCATCCACCTCCTCTCCGCTCTTGGAATATTTTATGCAAAAAAAAAAAAAAAAACGTGTCAGCTGAGCGGCAGGTGGGGGCGTGTCTGAATAGATTATTCAAATGAGCTCGCTCTTGACCAATCAGAGACCCGGCTTTCTCGGAGCGTCGCTCGGATAAATTATGCTGGTTTGTGTCCCGAAACTGCAGATTTTTTTTGTGTGTGTTGTGTATAGAGCAGAGAGATGAGCTGACCTTGGATTGTACTCGTAGAATAGCCTACGCGTGTGTTGGATGTGTTTCACGCGGAGCTGATCGCGCGGAGGTGGAGTCGGGACACGCGGCTGGTTTTGTTAGCGGACTGTGTGGTACACGAGCAGCATGAACACGCCGTGCTACACCGTGGCTGCTATGGATCTAGGCGTCTACCACCTGAGACATTTCTCCATCTCCTTTCTGTCGTCGTTATTGGACGCGGAGAGTGCGCACGTGAAGCTCGAAAGGAGGTAAAACACGGTGTTATTTTAGGGTTTTATCGGTGCATTGTCTTTTTTTAATACACAGCTCTGTGTGATGGAGGTAGTGAGCAGGGTGGTGGATGCAAACTGTGTTGTACCGACGTAAACTCCTCCATCCATGTCCTGCAAAGCGTTTCCAGAGGCTTCCTGTTTTAGTAATTTATTCTTTCTTTCTGTTTACAGCTCGTCAGGAGCCAGCGTTGTGGCTATAGACAACAAGATCGAACAAGCAATGGTGAGTTTTTAACTTGTTTTTATTTTCTTTACACTGTGGGAAATGTTTTATAACAATAGATGATGTTCATAAGGACAACATTTAGGGATTCATCTGATAAAAGTGTCTGTCTAGTTTATTACTTGCTCTTATGCATGTTTTAATAGATAATAAATATGAGGAGCATGGACTATAGTGTGTATATTCATTTAAATCTGTGGCAACAATAAACAAACTTTTTATGAGGCGTAAAATTATTATTTGGTATTTTATTGTGCTTCCGACTTCAGAAATTTAAGTGATGACTGGGCAAAAAAAATCACTTTTTATGCTAAATCAATCTTTTTGTTAATATTACATTTGTCATCTCACTTTTACAATATGATTGCAAACCCTTTTTCCCCAGAAAGCGAAACAGTAGATTTTATTTTCTGTTTCGCTCTTCCTCTCTGTTGTTGTCGCTGTTGCTAGGCAAACTAGAAAGCTCTCACACGTGGGTATAAATATCTCGCCCTCTGATTGGCCCACAGCTTAAATTTGGGGGTTAATAACGTGTCACCCTGGGAATATACTCATTCACGTTTTGTCTTTAACTGTTATTGTGTTATTACTTAGAATTGATTTGAGTTTCCATTCATGTCATTATGCATGTTCACTGTTGATGCATATAATACGTAACATTGTGTTATAAATATCTTGTTCCCTGCTGTATGACATGATCACTAGTCGTTACACAATTTAATATTTATTAGCTTATTCCTGAATCGGATAAATTGAATACATGTTTGATATGTAAGATTTCAGTCATTCACAGTACATGAACAGCATTTTATGTGTATTTTATTGTTATGCAAGTGCAGTTTCCCACCTTTTTTAGGGTCAGGACCAGGAGTTAAATTTCTCCTGATGCCAGAATTTCATATGAGGAATATCTTTGAGTTATAGATATTGGGCCACAGGTTAGAGCCTGACCTTTTTCTTGTGAATTTGATGAAATATTCCGGTCATGAACCTGTATCTCTGTCTGTCTCAGGACCTGGTGAAGAGTCACCTGATGTACGCCGTGCGGGAGGAGGTGGAGGTCCTGAAGGAGCAGATCAAGGAGCTGATCGACCGTAACTCCCAGCTGGAGCAGGAGAACACCCTGTTGAAGACCCTGGCCAGCCCGGAGCAGATGGCCCAGTTCCAGGCCCAGGTCCAGACCGGCTCCCCGCCGACCGCGGCCACACCGGGACCCCCCAGCAGCGCCGCCCTCGCCCAGCCCGCCTCGCACAGCTCTGGCCCATCAGCGTAGCCGTGCTCTTCACAGACTGACGGACAGTTTTGTTTTTTCCCCAGTTCTGCTACAGCAGCAGAGCTAAAAACCCTTTGCCTTCTGCAGCAGGAGGTTCCGCTGTCAAGACAAGAATTTGCACATATTTATCTCTCAGAAGGATGCATCCGGTGGGACGAGCAGCACGGCGGTGGAGGGCGACGACCTGGAGATGCTGCGTGGGAGGAGGATTGAATCATCGAACATTTTTGCCAAATAACCCTTGGACATATCAACTAGAATGTCATACCAAGAAGAAACACAACTGCTTATGGGTGGCGACAATATGCTTGGATATAGATTCAAAAAAAAAAATTCAAAAAAAAAAAATCACTGTGCCTGTGTCTGGATTTTAAGTGATGTCGATTTTACTGACGGCATAAGAGTAGGAGGTGGCGGATTGTATTAGTTGTTACCTTTCTTTTTTGCTGAATGATGTAAATAAAAGTGGTTCTCTCTCAAGGCTACGGTAACGTTACAGGCGTGGAGATTTGAGACAGAGAGAGAGAGAAAAGCCTTCTCAGAGTGACAAATGAAGAATGTGAGCAATTATGACAAAGTCCCCATCTGGGGGGGGGGGGGGGGGGGGGGGGGGGGGGGGTTAGGGTATTTTGAACACTTGGCAGCGTCGATGACGTTACTTGGGATGAACCTATTGAGATGAAGATATTCTATTTCAGTATTTCTCTTTCAAATCTCCTCATTTTCGCCCTGGACTGAGCTCATCATTGCTGTTTTCTCAACCCTGTAGCGGCATGTGATTTAAACCTTATTCGACAGGGTTGAGACATTTGGGCTACGCTGCATTTTTGTTTATTTTTTTTTCCTAAAAGTTTGATGGGCAGAAGATGATGTATATTTCTGTATAGTGTAAGTACCATGTAAAATAATGAGGAGTAAAACCAGAGGTTATCTTGGTCACACAGGTGGAAGGTGCCAGTTCTTGCCCCGTCTGTGTCGTCTATTTTTAATGCTGTATTTTCAACACTGCGGCTGGACAGGAGTTTAGGTTCTTCAACTGACGACACACACACAACAATGTTGTCCATATCCCTTACTGCAACATTAACTTACTGAAAAAAATCACTTTCACGTTTTTTCTTTCCGGCGTATTGCACCTTTATGATTTTTTTTTTGTCAGTGAAGTACTTTTGGATGAACAATATCTTAAAACTCAACATTTAAAAAAAAAAAAAAAAAACGCAAATACAAACTCTGGAGATGTTTTTTTTTTTTTTTGTTTTTCATTCTGTGTATCGGTTGTATAATAGTGTTCTGTGCATGTTTCTGCAAAGACCGGATGAGATATTGTAAACATACATACCACAATTGCACTTGACAGCTGCACTCCACAACTTTCAATAAACATGCTTAAGGAAGAATACATCTACCTTTCTTATGAAACCCGGTGTGTGTGTGTGTGTGTGTGTGTGTGTGTGTGTGTGTGTGTGTGTG